TTCATAATCAGATAAAGGATAATTCATAAACTGATAAAGGAAAATTCATAATCTGACACATAATTCACAATCTAAATATCATAAGATTTATAAGTGGAACTAGAATTTACCAATATGAATGTCATTTGTCCAGTAAAAAAGCTACTACTTTTCTTTTTGTACTTCTCAATGGATTTGATCAGAGAGTTGTAGGTGTATCTACACCAGTTGTACTCCTTTATCTCATCAACATTAATCAATGAGTTGAGGATTCTGTTGTTGCAGTAGCGTCTCTGAAATCCCCGCATCATGCATGAAACAGTTAAGACCATGAAGTCCCTCTTAAACTCATCACCATAATCTCCCCTATTACCTATCACATCCCCCATCTTGGTTGTGATTGGGGAACCAAGGTTAATATTCCACCTTTGCCTCCAGCTTTGCAAGAGAGCCCTGTACTCTGGTGTTCCCTGTTCATCATATTTTGGGGCCTCAACAACAACCCTTTCTCCTCTTGGAATGCCAAGAGTGTACTCAATGTCCTCTTCTTCAACAGTGAGCTTGTCATTCTCCAGTTTGAAATGTGTTTGGTAAAGCTCAAAGTTGTTCAGCAAATACTGTACTAATTGTGACTCATTTGCACACAGTTGAAGGTCCAACAAGGCTCCAAAACCGATATCACGGACAGATTGTTTTTGTTCTGGCGTTAGTTGTTGTACAAGCCTGAACATGGTCTTCGGCCCCATCTGTGTGCTGAAGTAGCGAGTATAACTCCCTTCTGCATGTTCACCTTCATCTGTTTTGCCCCTATGTCTATCATTTATTTGTTTTGATCTTTTCTCTCTAATTACTTCATACTGGAGCTGGTCGTCAAGCTGCTGATGGGATGGTTCAGCAGCTTGCGAGTCTAGTACGGCCCTTGTTGTTCGTTGTCTTTTCGTTTTTGTCTTAGTTTTGACTACCTGTTTTGTTCATCTGTGGGTTGAGAGGGCTGTGATGGTTGTGCAGCTTGAGAGCTTAAGATTGCCTTTGTTTGAGAGCGTGTTCTCTTGCGTTGAGCAGTGTCCATTGCTTTTATTAAAAACGTTAGAAAGCAAGTAATTCATATACAACATATAATATAGCACAAAACTGACATGAGTTTGATGGAAATATATTCTTTATTTCAGTAGAGGGGGGAAGGGAGTGCCAAATAAATCCAGTCATGCTCTACCGGAAAGAATATATTGTCCATCAATAACAGTCACACAAAAAATTCATAATATCACAAAGAAAATTCATAAATGCAGAACAGAAAATTCATAACTGCAGAACAGAAAATTCATAACTCAAATTAGAAAACTCATAATCTCATATGAGAAAATTCATAATATCACAAAGAAAATTCATAAATGCAGAACAGAAAATTCATAACTACAGAACAGAAAATTCATAACTCACAATAGAAAACTCATAATCTCATATGAGAAAATTCATAATCTCACACAGAAAATACATAATCTCATATCACAAAGTTCATAACATCAAAACCGTAATTTCATATAGTCACAATAGAAAATTCATAATCTCATATGAGAAAATTCATAATCTCACACAGAGAATACATATTTGCATGACATAAAATACATAAGTGTTTAACAGAAAATTCATAAGAGAACAGAGTATCAATAACAGTTGTGACATTATGGACATTCAAAGCTTGCATAGATAGTGAATAAACAGCAGTAAAAACAATATACGAATCAATTCATAATGGTTAATCTACACATACATAATGTTACAAATATACACTCATAAGTTCATAACATTACATTCAAAACCCCATTTTTAAATTTCAAACTCTGTACACAGAATACAAAAACGCTAAATTATAAACACATCAGGTACAAAATACATGTAAAACAAGTGAAGCAACGTTGAGAATGAGCGATGGAAAGGCTGTCTCCTTTGATAACTACGGGAGGACGCGAAGTTTTGTTCGAGAAATGCGAGAACGGGGAAATGGAACACGAGAGTAGAGGGAATGGCTGTGGAACAGAGAGTTCGACAATGATCGCAGCAAATGGCGCTTGGGAAGACGAAGTGAGAGCAGAGAATTCGAGAGTAGAGAGCAGAGAGTTCGAGAGTAGAGAGCAGAGGGATGGAGGTTGCGTGGAGAGGAAGTGAAACCGGTTTAGTGGGAAAGTGAAACGTATATGGCGCGTTTAATTTTTTTTAAAAAAAAATGTGATTGGTGGGAGTTAACGGTGCCACTTACGGGCACCGTTACTCCCACTTATGTAAAACGGTGTCGTATGGAACCGTATTCACCATCCATGATGAACACGGTTCCATGGCATAACAATTGACTCCCCTAGCTCTCTTCCATTCTTACATAGGTTATCAAACATTGCTCACAAGTTCCAATCATTTTTTGGACCTAATTAATCCTTAAACCTTCGGGGTCCAATCGGCTTTGGACCCACACCCCCAATCGTTATGCGTTGGACCCGTGTCCAATCGGTTTTTTTTTTTTTTTTTTTTTTTTTTTTTTTAATTTCAGACTACTTTGTTATAGGAGTATATGTTAATAATTTTATTACTATATGTTAATAATTGTACATTCATAACTCCATAACTGTACATTCATAACTCTATAACTGTACATTCATAACTCCATAATTGTACATTCATAACTCCATAATTGTACATTCATAATTTTCGAAGTTTTATGTTCACAATTTTAGAGCTCTATGTTCATAATTTTATCACTATATGTTCATAATTGTAAGTTCATAATGTTAGAACTCTTTGTTCATAATTCGATCAATAACTGTACATTCATAATTCCATACTGTAGATTCATAATCTCATAACTGTAGATTAATAACTCCATAACTGTAGATTCATAACTCTATAACTGTACATTCATAACTTAATAACTGTACATTCATAATCTTCGAAGCTCTATATTCACAATTTTAAAGCTCCATGATCATAATTTTATCACTATATATGTTCATAATTGTAAGTTCATAATGTTAGAGCTCTGTGTTCATAATTTCATAATTGCATAACTGTACATTCATAACGGCATAACTGTACATTCATAACGGCATAACTGTACATTCATAATCCAAAAAAAAAAAAAAAAAAAAAAAAAAAACGCGCGAATTTTTTTTTTTTTAAACTAAATGACGCGTTTTTTTTTAAAAACGACGTCGTTTTGAGCCCGTGTCCACAATACACGGGTCCAGGGCATAATTTGCCCCCATTCCCATGTTAGAAGTAATGTAATACATTCAGAAGAGAAACTTGGTATTTTTTGGACAAAAACAGAAATTACTCTAATCTGATAGCTATGTATAACTATAAAACATTCATTAATGGAACTCTATCATACATCTATATTAATTTCACTTTTAGTCCCACGACTTTTGAGTTCTTATCACTTTTGGTGCACAACTTTAAATTTTTTCAATTTTGGTGCCTAACTTTGTTATTTTTATCAGTTTTGGTCCTTCTAGCCAAATTGACGGTAAAATATTTCCAGATTTTATATTTTAGGGGCAAAATCGTCATCCCATGGAAAGATCTTCAATATTTAAACAAAAGAAAAATCATATTAAGAGGAAAAGAAGAGTTTGTCAATGGTCGAAACTATAAATTCCATAGATCTGTCTGGTTTCTGCCCATCTTCCCCATTATTCTCATCATCAAACACCTATAGATATGATTTTACGGTGATTTTGTTTAGATATTGAAGATGTTTCCTTGGGATGACGATTTTACCCTAACAATATAAAATCCAACAACATTTCGCTGTCAATTTGGCCGAAAGGACCAAAATTGATAAAAATAACAAAGTTAGGCACCAAAATTAAAAAATTTTAAAGTTGTGCACCAAAAATGATAGAACATCAAAAGTCGTGGGACCAAAAGTGAAATTAATTCTATTCGGAAATTAATCCTAAACTCCAAGGTATATGTGGTAAATGGGCCGGCCCAGATCACATAGTAAAATTTGCAAATTATAAGTTGTTTGCAATTTGGAGAGACGGATGAAGAAATTGAAACAAAAATTTTGATTTGTGGATTTGAAGAAGAAAATTACAAAAATTTTAATTTAAAAATGGAAAATAGAGTACGAAAGAACAATTTCAATACCTCAAATTATTAACATGAACATTAGATTCTTCAATTTTTTATAAGGTAACAATTTTGATTTCTTTTTTCACGAGGAAACAATTTTGACAGTTTTAATTTTTCAACTTGTTAATAAAAACTTTAATTGTTTACAACTTTACAATTATAAAATACAATTTTGTTCCTATGGCTCCACTCCACACATACAATTGCAAAAGTAACGAACTTTAATACTATATGTTAATAAAGGACCAAAACCACTATACCTTATAAAAAAATTAGAGGATAAATAATGCTTCCATTAACAATTAAGAGATTAAAATTATTATTTCAAATAAAAATAGGAATGAAAATGCTATTTTCTCCACAAAAAAAAAAGAAATATCATCATCATGATCGTTCAACGGCCATAATTTTGATTGTTGCCAAGCCGTATATAGCCATTGTGTTAGCTAGTGGCAATTAGTATTGTTTGGTCACACAGTTGTATGGATGATGGATCATACTATCAAATAATATATATTCAGTAAATAATGTACTTTTAATATATTAAAAATGTACATTCTATTTAGAGAAAGTACATTATTTGAGTACTGAAAATATATTATTTTGTATAATATACATTCAGTATACGAATAATATACTTTCTGTTATGATCCACACCACACTGTGTAGACTATGATTCACACAATAATTTGCCAGCTAGTGGCCACTAGGCCTAGCCTAACCAGCCCATGGGCCGGACCACTGCCCAATGGGATATGGGCTGGGCTGGGCTAATCCATGGGCAATTATGCCCATTCAGTCATTTGCCACCTCTACTTCAAGAGTTAAAGGTGATACCTATAGGCTATAACTTCAAGATACTCAATTCAAAAATGAAATGAAAATATAGATGCTAGAAGAGCATTATGATAGGATTGTCTCAATCCTTTAGTATGTACACAAAAGATGCAAAGGGTTATAGATTTCTGATTTAATATATATGCCTAAAGTGTATTTCATTGAAGCACTTGCTAGTATATGATAAGGTTGGATATTCACATATAGATCTGACAAAATTCTATGGCATTTACAAAATAATGTATTGTACTTATAGAGAACTTAGAGCAGAAAACAAGTTATTGTGGAAGGGGTCTGAGATGTGTTCCAAGAGGTTCTGCAAAGGGCCTTTACCTGTAACAGCTGCTTGAGCGTAAAAGCCTAACCAGGCAACCATAGCTAACCGCCCGTTTTTAATTTCTTTCACCTTTAAATCTTCAAATGCAACAGGGTCCTTGGATAGATTCAAAGGATCAAAAAGAATGCCTCCAGGATAATTTATATCACCTGGCAAGTAAATTCCCAAAGGTTCTAATGCTTCAATCCCACAATATCTGGCATATTCCGGGCCAACCTAGGCGACATGTATCAAAAAATACGTGACAATTATAAACTGTGCATGAGTTCTGTAAAGAAGGGAAGACAAACGTGTAAATTTCTATATTTTACCATGTGTATACAAAGCACATAAATATACAATATGTCAATATACATACATACATACATACATACATACATGTATGTATGTATTTGTAGTGTGTGTATAGAGAAAATAGTGCTAGCTTTGTCTAAGGCTTCTGGGAAGATAAGTAAGAACAAATTAGGCAGATAATTGGATGATAATTGTCATCTGGTTGAAGTCTAGTTTTTTCTAGCTAGTCATTACAAGAGTGGATTTTACAACAAATGTCATTCCAAAATTTATTTACCCTCTAGTGACTAGTGGATAAATTCTTTAGCAAGGTCACAAATCATAGAACACAACATTGTGTCTCCAAAAATTTTATGCCATTGTTTCATTTCACTAAGCTATCATATGCCATATAATTCAAGAAAAATGAGATTGGGACCAAAATTTCACAGCTAAATGAGATTAAAAATGATGCAGTTTGATACTTGAAGTTGAGAGGCATGTAGACTCCACTGATTCAGTAAACCGTTTACTCTGCCTAAGTATAAATAGAAAGAAACATAAAATTTCAGCTTTTGTTTGTTATAACCCAACCCAAATTTGTTCATGCTACCCCCTCTCTCCAAGAAGCCTTTTGGTTTATCTTTTATATTGCATTTTCATTCTTATGCTTGCTTAGATTCCCATGACTTTAGTTCACACTTGTTTAATTTTGATAAGAAGTTAAATTCATTTATGTCTACATTTTTCATTTCTTTATAATATTGCAATGATAATTAATTTATAAGAAATAAAAGTTAATTCATCTTAAACAATTTACAAGAAATTTTGGTTTGGATGATTTAAAATTAAAATAAAAGAGAGAATTATAATCACTAACCAAATTGAAGGAGATAGCTGATAGCATGCAGTTTCTTAAGTAGTGTTGTTGATATGGGAACATGATATGCATGCTAAGGAATGAGAAAGAATTTTTATGATGAGTCTCACACTAGGCCACTAGGGTATAAAACATGACATTAGTTTTATTTTGTTTCTACAAGGGGTTATGAAGTACCACCATACATATCTTAGTGAGACCCATATGACTCTCACTGTCTCTGCATTATTTTGGATAGAAAATAACTTCAATATCATAATTAATAGGTACTTTCACCTTTTCGAGTAAATCCATGTGTGGAACAACATAAGTGTAAAATGTTTCCTATGAAAAATTGCTTCCCTAATAATTATCTATTGTTTCGTTGCCATCAAATAATCTCATTGAATTCTTTTAGAAAAATGCCTTATGGAATTATCTGCCTGTATGTCATTTGTGTCAAATGTTAGAGTACACCAAAGTGCCAAACAAGGGGAAATGTAATCTTTTTTTCTTGAAAATTGACTAATTTCAGTATCTAGCCATTTCCATATGTCATTGGCATCTACAGAAAAGTTATAGCATTTTCTTTTTATTTTTCTGGTATTTACCTTAGCAATGCTGCAATATGCCAAAAAAGTTCATCCCAAATACAGTTCATTTACTTCCTTTCTATAATGGGGGCCAAGGAGAAAGGAGGGGGGCATAATAGGAATGGAGATTTGCACTAAGCACACTAACTCTCTGGTATCACACAAGTTCCAAATCACTGGTTCAATGAATCAAATGAGTGAAAGTTACCTTCAACTCTACAGTTAAACAACTGCAATGCGACAAAACCTTCCTGACTCAACTTTGCAAGTTTAAAAAGTTTAACAGATTCAGGAAACATATTAGGATACACTTACCATCAGAAGAACTTGGCAAACAGCTATGACAAAGACCCCTTGGCTTCCAGCAAAATGGAATCCTGGGATCCCCAAGTAGTCAAGTGTGTCTCCCTAACAAAAGATTATAAAAGAGGAAGCATGGCCGTTAAAATGTAAGATTCAAAATCCTAGAAAAAAAAAATGATTTGCAATGAAAAGGTATTATTATTATGCCCACACATATATCTAAAATAAAAAATAAAAATTTGGCTAAAAAAAGAACTTCTTGTTATGCCAAGGATTAGTGAAAGTTGCAGTACAATTGATACCTTTAGTTTTGAATAGCCCACACGCCACCAAACAGGTTCTACAAATTGAAATGCTCCTGTCAGGTCTAACAGTTCTGGAATCAATGCACCAAGAGCAGCGAGCATAGCCCACCGTGCATGCAATATCTCAAAACTGCAATTTTATTATGTTATAAAATTTGCAGCACACAGTAGGGATTCTTCTGTCTCAGGTCACACAGGGAAGAGAGCTATCAGAAAGCATACAACACACCATCTCTTTGACTGAATTACTTGGAAACTGTTCTTTTGAATACATATTTCTACCTAATAGCACAAGAACAAAATCAATCTAAATGGTGGATATCGTCGACTGTATGTCCTCTGCATTCATATTTCGGTAAGGGAGAAGGAAACCATAAATGGTGTGAGGTCTTTTGTGTTCTTTGAATATGTGAGAGGCAAAAATGATTTAGAAAATGTTAATTACTTAAGTAAATGGCATGACATTACAGTTAAAAAGTAATTCGGAGGGCATTGCAGAAAAAATTAGCAAGAAACTGCCAATAGTAAATATAGCAAAGAGAAAATTACACTTTTGGTCCTATAACTATTGAGATCTTGTTAATTTCAATCCACGACTTTAAAAACTAACAATTCAGTACCCTCACTATTCAATTTTTATCAATTTTGGACCACCCAGCCAAATTGTCGCCGAAATCTTTTAATCCATTTTAATTTGTTTAATTCGGGGGGCAATACGGTCATTCTAGATGAAAAAAGGGGGGGAAATTCAAGAACTGAAGCAAAGGGTTGCTTCCGGCGAAACTGGAAACATAGACTACTATGCATTAATGAGATTAAGGAGGGGTTGTTCAAGATATCAAACACAAACCCGATAAACCCATGAGCTTCGTGGAAAGATGCGAGTTTGCAGACGACCAAGATGTTGATTCTGTGAGGGACAGAGCAAAGATGTCTGCTTTATTATTGTACAGATTGATTCAAATGGCTTATACTAGCTTAACAAAGACCCTCATTGAAGAAGACGCAGCTGAGAAACAAAGGAAAAAGGCCGCCGCTGAGCCTTTTTCCTTTGTTTCTCAATTGCGCCTTCTTCAATTAGAGTCTTTGTTAAGCTAGTATAAGCTCTTTGAATTAATTTGTACAGTAATAAAGCAATCATCTTTGCTATGTTCCTCACAAAATCAACATTTGATCGTCTACAAACTCACATCTTTCCACGAAGCTCATAGATTTATCGGGTTTTGTATGATATTAAGCAGTAAATTGGCTCTTTCCAGCTCCGATCTTCAACAACCCCTCCTTTATCCCATTAATGCATAGTAGTCTACAATTCCAGTTTCGCCGGAAGCAACCCTCTGCTTCAGTTCTTGAATTTTCCCCCTTTTTTCACTTGGAATGATCGTATTACCCCCAGAATTAAACAAATTAAAATGGATTAAAAGATTCCGGCGACAATTGGCCGGATGGACCAAAATTGATAAAAATTAAATAGGACCAAAAGTGTAATTTTCTCATATAGCAAATATGTTACGGAGTAAATATTAGTCACAACAATATTCTTAAAAGTCTAAGAAAATCCTATTGATTACACATTACCAACAAGAAACAGCAAAACAATGTATTTCTTATGTTGCTAAGAGATATAGAAACAAATGCCAAGCTGTGAAAAAGACCACACAATGTGAAATGAATAAATAAAAAAGTAAATAACCATGACTATACATGCTGGCACAGGTAAGTATGTATATATAGAAAAATTACTTTTATCTCACCTCAAGGAGATAACACTCTTAACTATCTCTACTTTTTTCCATTTCTTGGTCATTTCCCCCCAGTCACCTACTCCTCCTATCCTAGATCTGGTCAAATTTGGTGTCTAGTTAATGTAGTTATATTCTGTGTATGGCATTTGGAGGTGAGTTTTTGTATCACAAGTGACTGAAGGGGATTAAAAGGGCTTGGGGTGAGGAGAAAGAAATATCTGTAGTTTCATCATTGAATAGCTCAGTCGCTCAGCTCAATTAAAAATTAAGTTAATCAAGCACAGATAGATTTAGCTGAGTCAAACCAAAACACACTTCCAAAGTTCTATGTTAAGGAATACACTGTGTGAACAAAACATGACTCATCACCTATTTGTAAAACTAAACTAAATCATTGAAGGTTTGGCCATAAATGCATCTACATGCAAATGGCCAAACCCAGTCCGAAATGCAGACTTCAAATTGGCACCTATGTAGCGCATGTTTACATCAGTCAATGCATAGTGCATAGTCCTTTGCAAAACACAAGAAAGAAATTGAAAATTGGAGATCTATGTGTTCTTTGCAACAAAAAAGGAGACTGTGCATGATATACTTATATAGGGGGTTTGGTTTAGGTTATAGATCATATAACTCCAAAAATGTAAATATTAGAATGTTAAATGCCCTTATTTGGTTCAATAGAATGTGAGATCTTTTAAGATTCCCAAACTTGGTTTTTAGTTCATTTTTTGTCACATCCATGGGAATCTCATTCCTCCAAATTTCTTAGGTTACATGAGATTCCCAAGAATATTACATTACCTACAAAGATTCCTTAAACCAAACACCCCCAAGGAAAATGACATTTTACACATGAACAATCAAAGATGAGTACATACTTGAAGTACTTTTGAAGGGCTATTGGATCCTTGCTTAAACCTGCAATATCAAAGCTATAATCTCCAGGCAGCTCTCCAGTAAGATAAGAAGGATAGTCATATGGGATTGGACCAAGCCAACGAGGGCGAGCTTCTCCATACCACATGCTGCAAGAGCAATGTACAAACTCCTAATTAACAATTAGTAAATTATGTTGATTAAAAGTGACAAAGTAAGATTAATACGGAGTATCTTCATACAGATGTAACAACATAAATAGTTCCATAGGATTCACTTGGATATCAATTTGTCATTCTCTGAACAGCACAATCCTATCATCTCTGAGGATGACTATAAAGTAATTGTGTGTACCTCATGACACTATGAAAGTACATCATTCCATTAATTTAACTTATGCAGTTTATTCAATTATATTGATCTCATCACTCTCTTCACTCTTACCATTATGTTACATATCCATTGTAATTTACAGGTGTCAACCACAATATATAAAAACAATAGCCCTTTAATTATGGCTAAGAAAAGCCACTCTACAAACATCCCCCTACTCCCTTGTTTTAAAAAGGCATTAGTCACTTTCAGTGAAGTTTTTTACCATCTACATAATTAACTTGTGGTAGGGTTAACCAATTTATGGATAGTGAATGAATATAATTCAGTGGTGATACTTATGACATACCATATCATTTGGTAAAAATTTTGGAGTATATAGCATTTTCCATACAGTTTTACTAGGTGATTGCAACTCCGTCTATTAGGAGAAGGTAAAAAAAGTGAAACTAATTACCGCAAATATAGGATTACCTATCCTCTCTTGCTGTTTCAGCAAGCGCCTTAAACTTGGCAGAATCGTCGACGGCAGCCTTTTTTCTCTCCTCCAATCGTCTCCGAAGTGTCTCCCCAAAGCTACTGTTAGCTATGGCTTTAACAGCAGTGAAGGGGATTGCGGAGAAGACCAAAACGCCGGCAAGCTTCAGATCGAAAAGAAGATAGAAAAACATAATTTCATCAGGCAATGAAAAGTAAAGACTGAGAATCGAAGGGAGAGAAGAGTAGACTGCTTCTGCGTACCTCTTGCCATGAAGCTTCGATGCGTGGAAAGGATTTGGCAATGGTGCGGGTGGACTTACGAATGGAATGACCGGCGCGTCGATTGGTAGAGATGAAACTCGCGGAGTGAAATGAAGACGAAGATGACGAAAGAAGCTCCATTCAGTTTGTGTGGCTGGTGTGATCAACGGTCTCGGGCTCTATGAGTGTCTCTGGCATCTGGCAAGTAGAAAACTTATGGAGTATTTAAGAATGTCAAAATGAATAAAGCTTCTTGGAATTGTTTAAGTATGTTTGGTTCACAAGAAAATAATCTTTTGGAGGATTTCTTTCTGAAATTTGAAAGAAAAAAAAAACATATTTTACCTTTAAGGGATAAAGTACAAATAAACTATTGAACTATTTGGGAAATAGCAATTAAATCATCGAACTTAAATAATCCTAAATAAGTCATTGAATCCGGAAAAAAAGGAGCAAATAAGCCATTAATCCGAGAAAAAAAAGCAATTAACATTTTTAACATGTTAACTCCAATTTTTTTTTGAAGAAGAAGAAGAACGATACTTAATTCATTAAATCAGAAGCGAGAATCGCACCAAGATAGCTAGGAGGCGTGTCCAACCACTCTCCCGAACCTGACACAGAAACGACTTCTCGTGCTAAAGCATGCGCTGCACAATTCGCAGATCGCCTGACAAACTCAAAGCTAACCCCATTAATCATAGAGGCTACTTGTTTTACATCATCTACTAGATAACCAAAAGCATAACAGAAAGAAGCTGAGTTTAATGCATGATAACATAACTGGGAATCGGTTTCAACATCCACTTCGCTCATCCCGTGCTGCTGAGCCAAGTTAGAGCCTCCCGAATGCAACACATCTCCGCCTCCGTAACCGTGTGCTGCCAGGGGACGCATAGGCTTCGTGCCGCCAAGAATTGACCTGTATCGTCTCGCAATATCCACCCCAACCCCATAACATTGAGTGTGTGATCTAATGCTGCATCTGTATTCAACTTCAACCTCCTTGACACCGGTGATTTCCACGTTTGTGTGTCCGTTTGTACCCTGAATCAAAATAGTTTTGTCTTGTCAAGATATAATTTATTTATTTATTATTATTTTTTAAACAGAAGATCAAATGAAAAATAATAATAAATAAATAAATCAAATCTCAAAAAGACAAAACTATTTTGATTTTAATTACTTTAAAATATAATATTGTCCAAGTGGATAATATTAACAACAACAATTATAATAAACGTAAATAAAATAAACATTTGACAATCCAGTCAACAAAAATTTGAAGTTAACCTGTTAAAAATGTTAATTGCTCTTTTTCTTCGAGTTTAATGGCTTATTTGGAGTTATTTGAATTTGATGACTTAATTGATGTTTCCCAAATAGTTCAGTGGCTTATTTGTACTTTAACCATTTTGTTAATGAAGAATTTATTTTACTAGAAAATGAATTCCTTATTTTCCTTAAATATTTTATTTTCACACCTATAGTTACCACATTAATTCTTATATTATCCCCATTTATCTCCTAATTTTATGGGTTCAATTCTTATATATAACCTGCGCTTTTGTGTATTTGTGTTATACGTTTTGTGTCTTTGTGTTATGCGTTGTTGTGTCTTGTGTTACGAAGAGGAGTTGATAAGAAGGTTGATTAATCATCAACGACAAATTTACGGTTAAAAGTTGCTACAAATCTATTTGTGGCGAGCTCACTGAGGAGGACATCATCAAATGGAGTTGCATCTGGCATTGTAAAATCCCTCCAAAGGTCAAAACATTCCTATAGCAGGCTTGCAATTCCTGCCTCCCTACAAAGGACAATCTCAGGCAGAGACATGTCAACTGCGTAGATAGGTGCAGCCTGTGCAGCAACGAAAGAGAATCCATTGTACACCTTCTTGTTGAATGTGAGTATACCAAGTCTTGTTGGAGCTTTCTTCGCTTTCACTCTCTTCACAACTCTGCAGATAACTTCCAATCTTGGCTGAGCAATACCATGGAGATCTTATCAGATGACCAATTTTGTATCTTATCTATGGTTTGCTGGTTTTTATGGAATTTGAGGAACAACATTGTTTGGAAAAATCAGTCTATGGAATCAACAAGAAGTCTGATCATCAAGGCAAGAACCTACTACTCAACCTGGTTAGCAGCAAACACAATTGAGTATACCAAACAGCAAACCACCGTCACTCAGGAAAATTGGAGTAAACCAAAACATGGCTTCATAAAGTTGAACGTGGATGCTGCTATTAACAAGGAAGAAGGTTGCATGGGTTTTGGTTGCGTTCTAAGGGATGAACATGTGCAGTTCATAGCAGGAAGGGGAGCTCACTGGAGGGGCGTTCTTACATCTAGAGAAGCCGAAGCTTTGGCTATTCGAGAATCCCTCAACTGGAACAAACCGTTCATAGTCGACAACACCATCATTGAAACCGACTCCCAACAAGTTGTCCAGAATTATATTTCAGGGAATGGAGAGTCTTCTTTTCACTTAATCTTGGCAGATATCAAAAACTTAATAAGCTCGTTTACTCATTGTAGTTTAGTTTTTATTAAGCGATTCGCGAATCAGGCGGCCCATCTCTTAGCTAGGCAGTCTGTTTCTTTGTCTGATTGCTCAGAGTGGTTCATGAACCCTCCTCCTATCATTTGTAATACCTTTTTTTTTGAATTTGAATTAATGCATTGTCTTTGGTTTTCAAAAATCATCAACGCTTCTTTTTGAGAATCCAAAATACTCGGATCCACATGTCAAGGCTAATGCTCTACTGCAAGCCCACTTCTCTAGGCAGGTGGTATGTGGAAATCTTGCTGCTGATCAACAAGAATTTAAGCATCAATCAATCACTCTATTATTTATATTTATATTTTGGCCATGTTTGGTAAAATAATTAGCCTATTAATCAATTTTGACTTATTTGACCACTATTAATGGTTTAAAAAAAGAGTTAATTCCAGTAAAGGTCCTCTGAGTATAGTGATTTTCCACATTTGGTCCTTGTCTTTTAATTTGGACAAATGTGACACTTAACTATCAAAATCTTTCCACCATTAGTCCTTCTGTTATCTTAGTGTTAGTCAACTGTGAAGTTCAAGGGTAAAATTGTCATTTTGTTGCCTGGGTTTCTTCTTCCTCCTCGTTTCTCTCTTCGTTCTCCTCAGAAATAAGAACAACAATTTTGTGAATTGAAAAGCTTCATATCACTACGGCAATGGCTTGGATATGGACAACAGTAGTAATATCCACAATTGTTTATCTTCTCCGTTAGCTGTTGAACATTAAGAAAAAAAACCCCTCATGGCCCAAAGGGTATTCCCATTTTGTGATATCTTCATTTGCTGGGCAAAACTCCCCACCAAAATCTTCATAAGCCAGCCAAGAAACATGGTCCTATTATATATATGCGTTGGGGTTTTGGTTCCTATCGTCATTGTTTCTTCCCCGGAGATAGTTGAACTAGGGCTCAAGACCTGCGATCATGTTTTTGCTGATAGGCCGTACCATGAGACTTTCATGCGCCGCTGTGGACGGCGCTGCTGTTGATCTCAGCGTCATGGTTTCGTCGTTAAGCGGACATGAGCTTCCTAATGGTAGTGGGGAAGAAGTATTTTTCTGAGGAAATTGGGGAGAAAGGATTCGTAGATGGGGATTTTTCATTTGTGATCAATTTTTTTTACCCTTCCGATACCCAAATACAATGCAAGCTGATTGCAGAAAGAGTGATACAGAGATGTCCAAACTAGATTTCACTGTTGGCATTCATAATCACTAGCTTGATTTATGAAAACAAATTTTGAGTGTTCAATTCAAATGGTTCAAACAGACAGTAAATTAAAAAACCGAAATGCAGAAATAAAATGCAGCTCTTGTTTTCTTTGATTAGCTCTTCTTTCATCCTCAAGATTTTTGCTTCTCTCTCCATTTTCTCTTTCTTTTCGTCTTGACATAGTGCGATCCAAACATGGAGTTTATCCCTGGACTGCCAGCAAACGAAGGCACCTAGTGACATCGCTAAGAACGTCGCCATTTTCACCATTTTTGTCTCACTTCTCCGATAATCTATCCTCTGCCTACGAATCTACGATCAATTGAAGAGGGGAAGGAAGACAAAGAAGAAACCTAGGTAAGAAAGGACGATTTTACCCTTAAACTTCACGGTTAAGTAACACTAAGATGACGGAAGGACTAATGGTGGAAATGTTTTAATAGTCAAGTGTCATATTTGTCCAAATTAAAAGTCGAGGACTAAATGTGGAAAATCACTATACTCAGAGGACCTTTGCTGGAATTAACTCTTTAAAAAAATTAATATAAGTATTTGTTTAATTAGCTTTTTGTAATTTTAAAATGTTAAAATTCAAAAAGCTGCTCAAAGTAACTTTTTCAATTAGTTTTTTTGAGAAAAGAAATTATACCAAACATCTTAAATAACAGTTAATTTACCAAATATCTTTTACAATCAGCTAATGTTATCAACTAGTTATACCATTTAATTAACCAAATCAGCTAATAGCTAACAACAATTTGCAGTGCGTGAATGAATTTTTTGACGATCATGAATGACTTTCTGGTGCATTAACATTGCAACAAGATATTAATGATTTTCTAGTATCCAACTTTTTTGTTATAGAACAGATATATCTCTGTAAGTAGACATTATTATATTGGATAAATGTAAGTATGGGAGATGAAAGTTTCATGTTTTTTACTGATCAGAGTTTCATCTTGAAGAGACAACACGGAGGAAGAGGAAACCAGTTTCTATGGTGAGGGGTAACTTTGTCTATTTGTAGAAAGTGAATTTTATCAATTTGTAAAAATTGTCCATTCCTCATTAAATCAGCTCATTTCAGTCAAAAAGCCCTGTATGTTGATACCAGATTTAGGGTTTTGATAGGTGTAGCAAATTCTTTTGATTTGATCAGCAATATAATCCCTAATTCTAATTCTGAGCCAATCGTATTCGGATTGGAAATGGCGGAGCACTTGGTTTCGATTTCGGGAACAGAGAAAGGCCGCGTGAACTGTCCTTTCTACTTGAAGATCGGAGCTTGTCGTCACGGCGATCGTTGCTCACGTCTCCACAATCGCCCCACCGTCTCCCCAACTCTCCTCCTCTGCAATCTGTACCAGCGGCCGGACATGAGCGACCCGCAAGGCCAGCCCCTTGACGCCGGCAGGATCCAGGAACATTTCGAGGATTTCTACGAGGACATCTTCGAGGAGCTGAGTAAGTTGGGCGAGATCGAGAGCGTGAACGTGTGCGACAACCTCGCCGTTCACATGATCGGCAATGTTTATGTTGAGTTCAAGGAGGAAGAGCAGGCGGCCGCCGCCTTGCAGGCTCTGCAGGGTCGGGTCTACTGTGGACGCCCTATTGTTGCGGAATTCTGTCCGGTAACGGATTTTCGCGAGGCGAAGTGCCGGCAATTTGAGGAGAATTGCTGCAATCGTGGTGGGTTTTGTAACTTTATGCATGCGAAGGTGATTGGTAGAGGGCTCCGGAGGAAGCTGTTTGGGAGATCCCGCTGGTATAGGGGAAGCCGGAGCCGGAGCCGGAGCCGGAGTCCTCCTCCTCCGGTTTGCAATTACAAGAGAGAGAGAGACAATGATGGTGGTGAAGACGGAGGATTACAGGCAGGGCAGGGGAGCCATGTAAGCGTAAGGGAAGGGAGTGAGGAGCGTAGAGCCAGGATTGAGCAATGGAATGTGGAGAGGGAAGGGAGGCAGTCTTGAGACTGCTCATTGTAATTCTCTTTCCACACTCAAAAGTGGCTTCATTTTCTTCACATATCTAACAAATTATTTTCTATAATTAATATCTTCTATCAATATATCAATTAAATTTTGGTCAAAACTTGTGTGAGATGGTCTCACGGGTCTCAATCCGTGAAATGGTCGGTTCTTTGATTAATGAAATCAAATTTAACCCATTATTCAAAGATTTGACTCATTATGATGTGCATACTGATGCAAAAACGACGTCGTTTTGATTAAAAACGTGCATTCCACTTAAAAAAACCAGTTTCGATTCCCAGCAACATCATTATGTTGTTCATTTATGTAATTCTAGATTTATAATTATGAAGTTATGGATGTGTAATTATGCATGGTGTTAGTTATGCAATTCTGGATTTATAGTTATGAAGTTATGGCTGTATAGTTATGCAATTCTAGATGTATAGTTATGTAATTTTGGATGTATAGTTATGAAATTATGGATGTGTAGTTATGCAATTCTGGATTTATAGTTATGCAATTCTGGATGTATAGTTATGTAATTCTGGATGTATAGTTATGAAGTTATGGATGTGTAGTTATGCAATTCTGAATTTATAGTTATGAAGTTATAAATGTGTAGTTATGCATGCAATTCAGGATTTATAGTTATGAAGTTATGGATGTGTAGTTATGCAATTCTGGATGTATAGTTATGAAGTTATAGATGTGTAGTTATGCACACAAGTGTTATTCTTCATCAAATTATTTTATAAGATTTGACATAAAATAATTTTTATTTATGAAAATATTCAAACAAAATTTTACTACTTAAAAATTTAAAATAAATATTATGTATAATTATTTATCTAAATTTAATATGAAATACAAAATATACATTTTAAGTAAAATTAAATATTTTATTTACATAACAATAATTTAATAATAATAATAATAATAATAATAATAATAATAATAATAATAATTATTATTATTATTTTTGAAATGGAAAGAAAACAATGTGATTGTCTGCAGGGTCGCGGGGATAAACAAAGCGTATAGCGGGTGATTTTTTCGAGGAGGAGGAATCCTGACGTGGGATTCGTGACAAGGAAATGTAGAGAGTGGATACGTAGAAGGGAAAGTCTCTTTGCCTTTGGCGAGATTGACTTCTGGGTATCTCGCCTTTCCCTTAGGCGAGGTAGTGTTTTTCGTTAATTTCGCGCAGGAGGCGGAGTAAATACGGTAATCCACCGTATTTACTCCACCTACAGTATTTATTGCATCCTCTTTAAAAAAAAATTTTTGAAAATTGCATTGAGATGTTCCATCCAGCAAGCTGACCTAGGCGACACAAGTTCCCAATGTACACACATTCCAGCCATCATAAATAATACTCTATATTATGGTGCTTTCATATGCACGAATTCCATTAGTCTTTTTCAAATCATTTGAGCCAAACTTTCATCTCCCTTTCCTCCTTCTTCATCTTCTCAAAATTTCTTTTTATCCATTTTTTTTTATTATGGTCCCTCCTTTATATTTCAAGAAATTCATTGAACATTGTGGTCCCAAATTTGTTGATATATTTGTAGTTTCGACTCCATCTTGGTGGGACAGATTTACTACGAAGACAGCGATTAGTGGAGTACAGAAACAAAAGTCAAGTCAGTGTAGGCCATAGTATTATATTTTGGAGGTAATAATACATGTTATTTAATTTTAGTTGTTTAAAACGTGAGGATTGCTTATGCATTATTATTTTTATTTGCTTACAAGTATTGTATAGACTGTGGAGTAGTTATGTATTGAGGTTGTGAAGTGTAAATCGTAGGTTTAAGATATTATAAAAAGTTAATCTTTAAATTTACAAATTAAAAAGGGTTAGTGCTCTCGTCAAAAAAAAAAAAATGTTAGTGTTATGAATCCAGGAAATTTGTGTATGTTTTGTATTGATTGATTAATGTTTAAGGTTTGCTGTGGTTTTGGATGGTTGACACAACGTGGGGTGCATGGTTCAGAATGAAAATTTGTGTACGTTTTTTTTTTTTTTTTTTTTTTTTTTAAATTCTATGTTACAAATCATTACTTATTAATTGCGTTAATCATTATTCATAGAAAATTTTTTTAAAAAAATCTGTTTTACATTGTGTATAATTCTGTATATATGTATTTCATTCTGTATAATTGTACATAAATGGCTTTTTTTCTGTAATAAATAAAGTTGTTTTTACCAAAGACAACTTCTCTTTTATTGAATCTCGCATTTGTTAAAGACACTTTCCTTGTTTTGTATTCCAATTTAGGGATTTTCCTTTTTTGAAACCCGTGCAAAAATATTTCCCCGTCCAGTTAATGATTCGCGTATAGAATTAATTTCACTTTTGGTCCCACGACTTTTGAGTTCGTATCACTTTTGGTACACAACTTTAAATTTTTTTAATTTTGGTGCCTAACTTTGTTATTTTTATCAGTTTTGGTCCTTCCAGCCAAATTGAAGGTAAAATATTTCCGAATTTTATATTTTAGGGGCAAAATTGTCATACTATGAAAAGATCTTCAATATTTAAACAAAAGAAAAATCATATTAAGAGGAAAAGAAGAGTTTGCCAATGGTCGAAACTATAAATCCCATAGATCTGTCTGGTTCTTGCCCGTCTTCCTCATTATTCTCATCGATCAAATAGCTATAGATATGATTTTACAGTGATTTTGATTAGATATTGAAGATGTTTCCTTGGGATGATAATTTTACCCCTAAAAATATAAAATCCAGCAACATTTCGCTGTCAATTTGGCCAAAAGGACCAAAACTGATAAAAATAACAACGTTAGGCACCAAAATTAAAAAATTTTAAAATTGTGCACCAAAAGTGAAAGAACATCCAAAGTCGTGGGACCAAAAGTGAAATTAATTCATTCGCGTATATAGCGATGTCTTGGAACAATATAAATGTGGTTGGAGTGGGTTAGTCTCCTTCCTCATTCCTGAATTCTGAAGTGAAGTAAGAGGTTCATTTTAAAGTTGAGAGAGAAAGTATGTTAAACTGCCAACACCCAAAGTATGGCTTCATGGTGAACAAAAGCTTCCGACTTTCATCTATGGAGAATGAAGCATCTTTCTTTCTAACCTCATAACTACTGCAAATAGCTATGACGATGAAAAATGGCGCAGCTGCAGCCAAGTCTTTTGAAAGTTGGGCCCAAGGCATATACATTTGCCGCCAACTCGCCAGCCGTTATGCGGCCCACCTTCAACTCTGCTCCTCAAACATTCACACCCCTGCTGCGTCTTCTCTTGCTACAGCCATCCATGCCAACATGATCACCTCCGGCTTCAAGCCCCGTGCACACATCCTCAACCGCCTCATCGATATCTACTGCAAGTCCTCCAACCTCTCCTACGCACGCCACCTGTTCGACGAAATTCCCCAGCCGGATATTGTTGCTAGAACCACCATGCTTGCTGCGTATTCTGCTTCCGGGGACCCCAACCTCGCTGCAGAGATTTTTGATAGAACCCCTTTAAGCATGCGCGACACTGTTTTCTATAACGCTAGGATCACGGCCCATTCGCATCAAGATGACGGCCATGCTGCCATACAAGTCTTCAATGATATGAAAAGAAACAACTTTCAGCCTGACCAGTACACATACACTAGCGTGCTTGCAGCCTTGGCACTTATAGCCGATCGCGAATTGCACTGCCAGCAGCTACATTGTGCTGTTATCAAGTCCGGGACTGGGACGATTACGTCTGTACAGAATGCCCTTTTGTCAGTGTACGTTAGGTGCGCATCTTCACCCTTTGTATCTTCGTTGCTTTTAATGGAATCGGCTAGGAAGTTATTTGATGAGATGAGCAAGAGGGATGAATTGTCATGGACAACAATCATTGTGGGTTTTATAAGGAATGATAATGTTGATGCTGCACGAAAAGTGTTTGATGGGATGGATGAGAAGTTAGTTGTGGCATGGAATGCGATGATTTCAGGGTATGTGCATAAGGGTTTAGTCTCTGAAGCGTTTCAACTTTGTAGACAAATGTACTTGCTAGGAATTAAACTGGATGGATTTACATATTCAAATGTCCTTAGTGCCTGTGCTGATGCTGGATTCTTTCTCCATGGAAAGCAGGTGCATGGTTACATAGTAAGGACCGAAACAACACCTATGGAGCATGCTCATGTGTCGGTAAATAATGCTTTGATTACATTGTATTGGAAATGCAGTGGAGTTGATGATGCTGGGAAAATTTTTGATCAGATGATCACTAAGGACCTGATCTCATGGAATACGATTTTGTCTGCATATGTGAGTGCTGGACGGATTAATGAAGCTAAATTGTTTTTTTCCGAGATGCCAGAGAAGAACTCCTTAACATGGACAGTGATGATATCTGGATGCTCACAAAATGGGCTTGGGGAAGAAGGTATAAGGCTATTCAACCAAATGAAATTAAATGGGTTTGAGCCAAGTGACTATGCTTTTGCAGGAGCCATTGCATCTTGTTCAGTGCTTGCTGCGCTAGAAACTGGACGCCAGCTCCATGCTCAGATTATACGATGTGGATTTGATTCAAGCCTCTCTGCTGGAAATGCGTTAATTACATTCTATGGAAGATGTGGAGACATTGATTCTGCACAGTGTCTGTTTCTTCGAATGCCATTTCTCGATTCTGTGTCTTGGAATGCAATGATTGCAGCCTTGGGGCAGCATGGACATGGTGCTCGTGCTATAGAACTCTTTGAAGAGATGTTGGAAGAACGTATATCTCCTGACAGAATAAGCTTTCTTACAGTCCTATCTGCTTGTAGTCATGCCGGGTTAGTTAAAGAAGGACAACATTATTTTGATTTAATGCATAGAGTGTATGGCATAAGCCCAGGAGAAGATCACTATTCTCGCTTAATTGATTTGTTGTCTCGAGCTGGAAGGTTCTCAGAAGCTACGAATGTGATCCAGACTATGCCCTATAAGCCTGGGGCACCCATTTGGGAAGCTCTTCTTTCTGGTTGTCGACTTCATGGAAACATCGAGTTGGCAGTGCAAGCTGCAGATCAACTCTTTGACCTAGTTCCACAAAATGATGGAAGCTACATACTTATGGCAAACATGTTTTCTTCTGCAGGCAGATGGAGTGATGCTGCCAATGTACGGAAATTAATGAGGGAACGAGGGGTCAAGAAGGAACCTGGGTGTAGTTGGATTGAAGTTGAAAACAAGGTCCACGTGTTCTTGGTGGATGATACTAGGCACCCTGAAATCCAAGCGGTTTACAACTATCTGGAGGAATTAGCAGTAAAGATGAGGAAAGCTGGATATATTCCAGATACGAAGTATGTGTTACAGGATATGGAAACCGAACAAAAGGAGTATGCTTTGTCAACTCATAGCGAAAAGCTCGCTGTTGTGTTTGGGCTCTTGAAGCTACCTCATGGTGCCACGATTAGGGTCTTCAAGAACCTTCGGATATGTGGGGACTGTCATAATGCATTTAAGTTCATGTCAAAGGTAGAGGCAAGAGAGATTATTGTGAGAGATGGAAAGAGATTTCATCACTTCAGGGATGGTGAGTGCTCATGTGGTAATTACTGGTGAGTGTTGAGCAATCCAACTATCAGCTTAGGCTTTTAGTTGAGATGGAGCACATGCTTCAATCACTCAGCGCCACCCGTACGCGACTACGGTCCACGTGATCCAACTAAATCGCAGTGCCTGAATATGAATGAGAATATTCGACTTAGGGACAGGCCGACTTGGCGGTGAGCTCTACTATTGTTTAAGATTCAACTCAATTCCATTTGCATTCATTTAGAATCAGTTTCTCTGTTGTGATTTTGGTTTACACAGTTTAAATTCAACCAAGAATTTGGTATTCTGAACTTGGAAAAGCTGAAATTTGCCCTTCCAGAGGACACCATTTGCATCTTTTCACCTATTTGCAGAATCCAGAGAAAGATGCAGAGTAGAGGACACTACACTTAACAGACTGAAGAGATGCTAAAAATATGTGAAGAAAGACTACACCTTGGCCGGCCTTCTAACTATAGACAAAGGAATTCTAAGAAGGATTAGTGAAAAGCTTTGATGTCTTCCAATTGGACATCTACATACACAATGGAATGCTGTGCTTAAAGTTGTAAACTGCTAAAACTGCTTTTATTATATGTATAATAAATTTCCAGGAAAATTTTGGTGCAATTTTTATGAGCGTATAACCCTAAAATTTGGCAAATATTATAAGAGAAGATTTTTATGATTAATGTTAAAAGTAAACGTAACAAAGTTGTGCCAAAAACAGATTAAGAAATCAGAAGGGAAGAGATCAGATTTGGGAGACAGAAGAGAAATTTGTAGAGAAAGAGAAGGAGAGAGGACTTTTACAAAATGAGTCGAGTGAAACATAAGATACGTAATCTATTGTAGTCTAGTTGGTTAGGATACTAGGCTCTCACCTGAGAGACCCGGGGTCGATTCCCGGCAACGGAAAATACTTTTTTAAAGGTGAAAGGAAAATGAATTCATTCAATACTTGAGGGGCAGACTAAAGTTAATAACAGAATAGATTATTGGCCATGAACAAAGATCTCGATTTATCCTTTTTTTTTAAAAAAAAAAAATATTTTTATTATTATTATTATAATTCTTTACGTCACACAAGAGATTTAATATAGAAAATAGAAAATTTGTTTATTAAAATCATGTCTTCAATTGTCTAATTTCTCTCCATTCTTCAATTTTATGTATATTTTCGGAGAACTTTAATTTAGACTTCTCCAAATGAAAGATTGGAGAAAGCATAGGTGAATAATGATCCCATTCTCCAACTTTATATATGTTTTCGGAGAACTCTAATTTAAACTTCTCCAAATGGAAGATTGGAGAAAGCATAGGTGAATAGTGATGGGTGTTGTGAGGTAGCATAGGTGAATAGTGATGAGTGTTGTGAGGTTGACTGTTTGATTCTTGTTGTGTACACTTATTTTTGCTTGCTTTTCCACAGCTTTTTTCCTATTAACATGCACAATTTTTTAATTTTTTTTTGAGTACTATTGACTCTGTTACAACTTGCAATGTAGTATTGCACAAAGAGCCAAATGTTCCCATACATACTTTCTCAACCTACTGAAACACAAAGAGTAGTATTGCACAAAGAGTCAAATGTTTCCATACATACTTTCTCAACCTACTGAAACACAAAGAGTCAAATGTCCCCACTGAGATTTGAATTTGTGACATCTCAATTGAGAGAACCACAGTTATGCTGCTCGACCACAAGGTATTTGACATCTTTTTTATATTTAGTATTAGTGTATTGAATTTTTTTATGTGATGAAACGAATTATAAAATTATTTTTGAGAAAATCATATTATATATATATATATATATATATATATATATATATATATATATATATATATATATATATATATATATATATATATATATAGAGAGAGAGAGAGAGAGAGAGAGAGGGAGAGATCAAAAAATTAAAAAAAAAAATTAGAGGAATGTGGAATGAAAATTAGAAATTGGAAAAAAAATGAAAAATTTGAGGAATGAAGAAGGAAAATTGAAAAATTGGAGAAATGGAAAACTGAAAATGAAAAAACAGATAAATGAAGTAAATGACACTTTTAAAACATGTTTGATTTACGAGATGAATATAAAAAGAATACTATAAGTAAAGAATAAACACCCTCCACATTGATATATACTAGAACAATGCTTAAGATAAATCATTCATATAAATGTTATATGTAGATTGTTAAGATGTTTAATCGTGCATGTAATAAAAATTTGAAGTGATAATGAGTACTTATATGTATCATTAAACTTTTTAAATTACAAAATTTCTCATGATGTTGACATTTTACATGCACTAATGTTGTAAAAAAAATATCATTTTTTTTTTGTTGTAATAAGAATATACTCTAGATAAGAAGCCGCCGGTATATTCATAACTAAACAATAATTTATTCGTATGTATTTGTCTTCCACGTCCTTTCTAAGCTATATATTTCTTGAAATTATGTTATAAAATTTACCTAACTACACATACAATGCATTATAGAATCATATAATGAAATATGTTTGATTAGAGTCGACATAGAATTTTAATTTTAATTTTATATATGTTATGAATATATATATATATATATATATATATATATATATATATATATATATATATATATATATATATATATGGAAGTCCAACAATATTATATTGTACATTTTACCAATTTTCTTTTTTCTTTAAAAAAAAACAATTCAACATATTTTTTTCTATGCATTATATATGGCCAAATATATGGTATTCCATGATATACTTTTTTAGCAACATAATAATTAAATACTTTAGCAACATAATCCCCTAAAAATAATTAATATTTTTTATGTACGATTAAAGTCTATAATTACTACCTGAATGTGCACAATGGATAAAGCCCATTTTGTATTCCTAATCAATAATCAAAATAATAATACTACATGTACTCTCACTTCTCCCTGCCGAGGTGTCATCTTTTGATTGATTTAAATAACAAAGTGAGACATGCTTTTATTCATTCACTTTTATTTTACTCAATAAAAATTGTACACGTGACAGAAGTTATATTACATACAAGTATATCATTTTCGTAATCAAAATCAATATATTGGCATAAATGCATAATAAGGAGTAAAGGATTTACCAAAGAAAGTCGGAACCCAATTGGGTTAACAAGTTAATTTGTGATTTAGAAGGGCATTTATGGGAATATACTATAAGCACGAAGCGCGTCGGTTTTGAAATTCAAAATGTTGCCGTTAACAACGAGCAAAAAACCCACCCGCCGACGACTATATAGTGCCTCTGCGAGAGAATTCACAGTGCAGATCGGTTACTCACAACTGGGGAGAGAGAATGGAGAGCAAGAATGCTACGGCGACGATGAGCATGGACGCCGGCAGGAAAACTGTCGGAGCAGGGATGTCGGCGATGGAAGCGTTCGAGAAGCTGGAGAAAGTCGGAGAAGGAACTTACGGCAAAGTTTACCGAGCGAGGGAGAGAGCGACTGGGAAGATTGTGGCCTTGAAGAAAACCAGGCTCCATGAGGACGAAGAAGGCGTCCCTCCCACCACTCTCCGCGAGATTTCCCTCTTGCGGATGCTCTCTAGGGATCCTCATATCGTCAGGTACTCATTCCCGCTTCCAGAGAATTCTATCTAATTATCAATTTATTTATTTTTTTTCTCTGGCGATGTTTCCTGATTCAGGTTGTGCTACTAGTGTACCTATAACCTAGGGTGTTTTTTTCTGAATGGCATTCAATTTTGTGGTAGTTCTGTCTAGATCCTTGAATTTCCTTTAAATTTTAGCATGTTTTACATGCTTTTGAGTTTTGAACTTCAATTTCAAGGTCAAATGATTGTTCTAGTGGATTGATTTAGATTGCTGCAAGCAAGCTGCAAAATCTTTTATTTATTTCTCTATGGTTTCATGATAATGCAGTCTACATTTTGAATTGATAAAAGTGAGTTTGATTGCACTAAGGCCTGATTCCTTTGATTTTGGTGTAACTACAGCATGCTATTACAGTCTTGTATTATCATGAAGATTTTACTCACTCTAAAGTCTAAACACAACTTTATTGTTGAATTTGCTTCTTATCTTGATAAACAGATTGATCGATGTGAAACAAGGACAAAATAAGGAAGGGAAGACGGTTCTGTATTTGGTGTTTGAGTATATGGATACTGACCTCAAGAAATTTCTCCGTAGTTTCCGTCAGACTGGAGAAAGCATCCCTCCCAAGACTATTAAGGTCAGCAATTGACTTGTGGAGTTGTGGATGATCATTGATTCCTGCTTTCCTTACCTTCATGGCGTAACTAACACGATATCTACTGTGTTTTGAATTCTTGATGCAGAGCTTGCTTTACCAGCTTTGCAAAGGAGTTGCTTTCTGCCATGGCCATGGTGTTCTGCACAGGTAATTCCAGGAGTTCAAAACACATAGCAAAGTGCAAGTGAAAATGTTGATGGAGTTGTTAGTTAATTCATTTACCTTTCTCGTTGTTGTTTCACCAGAGACCTGAAGCCCCACAATCTTCTGATGGACCGCAAGACATCAATGCTTAAAATTGCTGATCTGGGGCTTGCAAGAAGCTTCACTCTGCCTATCAAGAAGTACACTCATGAGGTGTCTAATTTTTTTTTTTTTTTTTTGTGTGAATTCCAATGCGAAAATATATTGAGAATGATGAATAATAAATACCATCCTCTCCTGTTCCAGATATTGACCCTTTGGTACAGGGCTCCTGAGGTTCTTTTGGGAGCTACTCACTACTCAACAGCAGTGGACATGTGGTCTGTTGGTTGCATATTTGGTAAGCTTCACTTTACACACTGAATTCTGAAATTTCTTGTTGCTATTTTGCTAACCTTTTTTCCCTTTCTTTTATATGACCTCAATTTCAGCTGAGCTAGTCACACAGCAAGCTCTCTTCATGGGAGATTCTGAGTTACAACAACTGCTGCACATTTTCAGGTCTAGATTATTGCTTCTTTCTTCTTATTCATGGGGTTTGGTTCAATTTTCTCCCGGGTCGTACTGATATTTTTCTGATGCACAGATTGCTGGGTACACCAAATGAACAAGTCTGGCCAGGAGTGAGCAAGCTGGTGAATTGGCATGAGTATCCACAATGGAAGCCCCAACCACTTTCATCATCTGTCCCCAATCTGGATGAAAATGGCCTTAACTTGCTAGCTGTGAGTTTGTTTCTTTTGTTTTTGTTAGAGAACTTGACTGTGGTCTGCCTGTGGCTATGTAAACATCATATTTACAGTCTCTATAAATTTGTGATGCAGGAGATGTTGCATTATGAACCAGCAAGAAGGATTTCAGCAAAGAAAGCCATGGAACATCCTTATTTTGACGATTTAGACAAATCGTATCTTTAAACAGCAATCCGGCTGGGTTGTTTTATGATTGTAGTGAGCAAGTGTTTATCGTGACTTTAGGGTAACCCTCAAATTGCTTGCCTTAAGCATATTACATTTTTCTTTAATCTCTTGAATGAATGTTGTACTGCTATTGGGTTTAGTAGGTGCACTGAAAATGTAAGGCTGCCATTTAAGGGCATATTAAGTATGTGACAATTCCTTCTACAGACTACAATGACTAACTCCAATCAACACTTCCTAACTTGTTCACCTTTCCATTAACCGACAACATCGTGTTGAAGACCTCTCTCTCTCCCTCAGGGAGATACCAGCCACATAAAGAATGTTGACCACAGAGTAAGGGAGATAGAAGCCAATCCATAAGCCCATAACATAATCACTGAGCATTCACTCTCACCAGTTCCGAACAATTGAGTCATGGTGCCTGCCATATGGAATAATTTCTACCTTAGATGGTGCCTCTTTTATCAAACATTGAAATATATGCTGTGATTTTCTAAAACTGAACGAGATAGTTGCAACAGAAAATATCACAAACTGGTAATAGAAAGGAATATGTTATTAGAGTGATGGCAACATACCTATGTTCATGGCAGGGGGAAGTGCAAATTGAATAAAGAGAACAAACTGATATAACGGATCATTGCCAACCAAGCCAAATTGGATTGCTCCTTTTACAACAGCTATGCCTATTATAGGAAGGGCAATGTATCTAACAATAATGATCCCAATAATAAGGGACTTATCAATTCCTGATCCCCTCAAGCCTGAAAATAAGAAGAAAAAAAGGGGTAAAGATTAAGGATATTTTAAAAAGTAGAGTATAGCTGTTGCAGGGCTTTGTACCTTTTAAAAGGTTTCCTCCCATTATGAGTGTGACAGCTGGGATTGCACCATCCCTGCAATTTAATATTTATTTTGAAGGTTATGGTTCAATGTTGCAGCCCCCAAGGACTTGCTGAAATGGAATTATACTATTACAATTCAGAACCAGAATATTGTGCTCAAAGTATTGTTGTAGGACAAAATAGCACCTTCCAAAGCTTTTTTATTTTTCGTGGTGTCTAAGTATTGTTAAAACAATTATCACGGCTAAGAAACAAATGCTGGAAAGGCTTCACAGATTGTAATATGCCTACTATTTGTTTATGTGAATTTCTTTTAGGGGGGTGTATTCAATCCAGACTTTTAAAGAGTTTTAAAGACTTTTAACGACTTTCAAAGTTTGGTGGTATTCAATTTAGACTTTTAAAGACTCTTTAAAAGTCTACCGGTATTCGATTCAGACTCTTTAGTTTGTTAGCTGTTGAATACTCATGCCTCTAATGCACATGTATGACATCAGTCCAAATTTGATTGCCTTTGGAATTATATCCTACTCGGGTCAAAATAACAAACAAAGTTTTTATCATACCCAAGCAACATGGCAGTATCTTGGATCACATGAAGAGGAGCTGTATCACCGATCAGCAACTTCCTGATTTGAGGTATAAGGCCAACCACAAATCCTACAATCTGCACAAGAACTAGACTTCTTAAGAACAAATACACTATACAACTCCAAATAGACATGTTTTTGTCCATTTAGTTGGCAAATATCAGGTGAGTGATGCCCGCAACGTCTGAAACAACATAAGCTACAAAGGAAGCTTTTTTTTCTCCACCACCCCCACCCCCCCCCCCCCCTCTCTCTCTCTCTCTCTCTCTCTCTCTCTCTTCCCTTTGAGGGAGGGTGGAAGGGGGTGCATGTGTAGAAATAACATTGCTGGGGTTTCAAATATGTCACAGTAAAAGAATCATACCGCTCCAATGGTTGAAGGGGCTAATAACCTCTTCAGATTGATCTTCCTTGAAAGCTTCTCTATGTACTGTTTTATTTTAGTTCCAACAGATGCCTGTCACATTAGTACAGAGGCAATATTTAATCTCATGCATAACTCTACTAGTCAAGCTGTGGAATTGAAGCTCATAATCATTACAAGTTATACAAATTAGAATGAACCGTATATGAAAATAGTAGAAAGAGAATTGGAAAGCTACAATGTCAAGAAGCAAAAACCTGAGATTTATCCTTCAACCTAGTGGAAGGCAGAACATTTTGCTCTGAGTAATCCTCTTCTGTGCAGTCATTTGAAGGAAGTAGCGGTTCTGTGCAACTCCCATGTTGTAATCTGGATCTTTCCCCAGAAGACTTAATGATTGGCGAGTCATTTATTTCAACATCCTTTGAACTACTACTTGATGATACTCTAATGATATTGTACACATAGGCCCAGAGATATATAGCTCCTACCTGAAATCCAAGCAGTAAGGCATAATTAGACTGAATTTCCCATGAAAAGATGTAAATGCTCTAGTCAAGGTACACGAACCTATTATTTGAAATATGTTATTTAAATATATGATTGTTGTCCTCTACCCATCAAAGCATGCTTTCAGTTTCATTGTTTGCACATCGGCTTAGTAATTATTTTAGGAATCTTATGTGTCGTGAATTAAATAGCTGGCAAGTGTGTAAACAACCAAAGAAGCTAAGTCTATTCTTACTGCCAAGGAAAGTGAAGCATAGCTCATTCCATATGTATGACAAGCGTCAGGATCTCCAAATGGGCTGCCTTTCTCTTTACAAACTGCAGGAATTATAATAAGAAGCATGTTGCCCAAGTTCCCTGCTCATATGAAAGCAAGAATTTATAAGTTATCATGCACACTCTAAAGAATTTTGATGATTTGAGAAATTATATCATATTTGAATGAAGCAGTGAGTTGAAGACATTATCCATTTACAGTAACTCTGTGTGAAGAAAAAGAAAATGATACTTTGTACTATGGCAGTGATAGTGAAAGATGGGCAGGCAATATTATGAGTTGTCATGTGGAACTCAACAGATTTGCATGAGGTATCAATAAGAATTCCCGATATCAAGGCTAAGGCCAGCACAGTACTCAGATGTAGCTTGTAAAACTGACATTAATTATCATAATACCTGCGGCACAACAGCCCACAATAAGTCCTCGTAGATGTTGGGGAGCTCTTGCAACCTGAACAACAACCCACCCAAGAATTGAACCAATCACAAATGTGACAAAGATGTTGAGAGGCATGAACCACCTGAGAGTGCAACAGACTTAAGAAAACTGGAGGAGAGACATTCGACAAAACAGACAGAGAAAGCTGTGAGAAATAAAACAACTCACATTTTCATCATGCTTTCATATGTAATCGAATTGGCCAAGTTGCTGGAGACAAGCGATGGATTGAATACAAAAAATACAATCTGTTCCCAACAGAATAATACACGACAAGTTAAACTATGGGCAGTAATGGTAGCAATAGAATTGTAGCTTGTAATCAACACAAAACATACATTATTTAAATGCTTCCTTGCTTCCTCTCCCAACAAATCATAACGTTCCAGCGCAAGAACTGATCCGAGTCCCGTCACCAGGAGCACTTTGAGGACTGGCATTGATGCAGCAACGAATAGATCCAAAATAGCCCCCATATCTGGATTCTCTCAGCAAGCTAGCTAAATATTTAAATTCTCGTCACAACTGATCCAACTGCTAGCTCCACTCAGCTCAGCTCAGCTCAGTCCTAACAACACATAATAATTCAGCATCCAAACAAACTCAAATCAGTAAATTAAGTTTGAAATAGGCAGTCCCTTGAAACAACCAAAAAATATCCAACTGTGCTTGAAACTGAAGATTTAACCAGATAAGGAAAAGTAACAAATAAGCTATATATCATTAACATCACAAGCAGCTAGAATAAACGCATATAATTTTTTTTATACACTAATATTTTTATTTTATTTTGCAGTTAGGTTTTAGGCCCAAATACAAAGTAAGTAGAACTAACAATAAACTACATGATTTTCAAAAAAACAATAAACTACATG